AGTAGACATCATCTGCATTTTCAGCAAGATGGCGCACCTGCCCACAACTCCAGAGGTACTTATCATTTTCTAAGTACTACTTTTAATGATCAGTGGATAGGAACAAATGGCCCAATACAGTGGCCTCCCAGATCACCAGATCTAAACTCACTTGATTACTTCTTGTGGGGTTACTTAAAGAACCAAATTTACAAGCGAAGGTACGATAAGCTTGACGCGTTAAAGACTGCAGTTAGGGAAAAGATAACCCAGATAGATGGTAGGACCATACTTAAGACAGTTCGAGCAGTTGAAAAACGTGCCCAAAAATGTATTGAAGAACAAGGTGGTGTATTCGAGCATCTTCTTTAAAAAAAATTGTTATTGTATTTTGTAAGATTATAAGTTGATGTTGAAAATAAAGTTTGTCGATACAATTTAATTGTTTCAGATTGGAGGCCATAACTTCAACAATTTGTAACCTAGGAGAAAAGCTTTTTTGTTTAAAATTTGATGCTTTAACAGAAAAAAATATAATATACAGGGGTTTCTATTTAAAAAAATGTTATTTTACTGAAAAAAATCAAAATAACGACTCTCAATTGTTTTTTTTTTATTTCTCATTTTTACCAGCGTTAAAAATGCTACTAGTTTGCTAATCCAAACAACTTTGTATTTTCACTAATAACAAAGTTACTAATGGTGGACACTTAATTTGGATAACCCTGTATAAAAAAAGAAATAAAAAATATTAGATAGAAACAAATCACTGAGTTGAGTCAAGCTACTGTCGATGCAAGCATGTCAAAGTTATTTAAGATGAACTTCTTAATTCTTTTTTTGAAACTATACTTCGAGAGGATTTTATATTCTAGGGGTAATTCATTATGCAACCTAATACCATCAAACTTTATGCATTTTTGGCAAACAGATTTATTCACTCTAGTATAAGTGTAACTTATATTTAGTTTAGTTCTTGTTTCATAAGCGTGGCTGGTTGGAACATTGTGAACAAATTTCAGAGCAGCAAAAATATATAAACCTCTAACATTCAAAAGATCACTCTCAATGTAAACAAATCTGCAACTTGACCTACATGGGATACGAAAAATAGTCCTGACAATATAATTTTTCGTGGTTTATAGTATTTTTAAAGTACTAGTGTATGCGGCTCCCATATACTAATCCCGTAAGTTAGTAAAGACCCCACAAACGAGTTATATATTGAAAGAAGACTCCTTTTGCTTAAAATATTCCTAAGAATGAAAAACTTATGAATAATTCTCCTTACTTTGGATGCCAAAAGCTCGGCATGACTCTGCCATTTCAAATTACTGTCAACAGTGATTCCTAAGTATCTGAGAACTTCAACTCTTTCGACAGTGTCAGCACTATCATTTATAATTAATGTTCGGTGGTGTAATGGCATGCCTGCTTTGGTTGGAGAATACTTAGTTTTCGTTTCCAATATCATTTTATTAGGGTTGGCCCATAGGCTCCGCTGGAGCTGCCAACCCTTTTGGCTGAATGCAGGATGAAACTTTTATACATATCCTGAAACACTTTAAAAAACATACAAATGCAGGTCCATCACATAAAGTGTTACTTTTGCTCGATAATCACTTTTCACACGTCCATATTAATGCACTAGACTTTTGTAAAAACAGTGGCATTATTTTACTATATTTCCCACGCCACTGTTCTCACCGACTCCATGATCGATCTGCATATGGCCCTTTGAAGAAACCTGTAAATTCAGCCTGCGATGCATGGATGTGAAACCATCCAGGAAGGACGATGTCCATTTATGATGTTCCAGAGATTGTAGCATCTGCTATGCTAACTGCTCTCACGCCTTCAAATATTCAAGCCGGCTTTCGCTAAACAGGAACTTACTCATATACCCTTCCGACATTTCGCCCAGCGATTATCACCTTTTTTTGTCTCTTGACAACTGTATGAGGCACCGACAGTTCACAACTCGAAATGGTGTAATAAATGCAGTCCGCCAATTTTTTTACACCAAATCCAGGAAGTTTTACAATACCGGCATACAAAAATTGGTTCCACGCTGACAAAAAAGTCATTGAATGTGATGGTAATTACTTCGACGAATAAATAGTGTCTTATTGTTCCTCAATAAAAATTTATATTTTTCTACTAATAACCGCACGAGCATATTTGGTCACCTGATACTTATACATAAACCATGTTTTACATGTTGCTCCATAAATATCCAAATTTCTTGTTGAGCCCATGTGTTTCATGATCTCCGTAAGTCAGTTAGCATTTGAGTTTGAAGCTTTAGTTATCTGCCTCAGCTTGTCACCTGACATTAAAATTGCAATTAGGATTTTCAAGTTGTTTTTTTATACTCCAACTACCACGAAGGCCTAAGGCCTAAACATCCATTGGGTATCGTGGGGCTAAGAAGAGACGAAAACGGTGGCACATTTGGAAAAAATCCGACTACACCTTCATAATCACTTTCTTTAGGGGAAACTTGAGTATGAATTTCTCTGAGTTATTTTAGTGATGTGATCCTGTTCATAATTGAATACTAAAAACGGAAACGCACTGATTTTGTCAGTTTGCAGTTTGCAGCACACTGGTTATAAATTGAATTTGTGTACTATTTTGAACCACCAGGAGGTTTGGAGCAATAAAATCTTGAAGAAAGCTCCAGAAAAACTTGTATATGTAATTATGGTTTCAGGAATTCTTGAAAAAGTTCAAAAGCGTTTTTATTGTCATACGTTGCAAACGTTTGCATACTCGGCTATGTAGTTACACTTACCCAACCTTCAGGATTTTTTTGAATGACGAATTTTTCTGTATCGCAAACCAGGGATCTATAACTTGAAGGAACTGGATCTCTTGAAGACCACACTTTTCGGGTTCTTCAAATATTTCACCTGAAAAATGTGCCACTAAGAATTACAAAAATTTCATATTCAGTAATACATGTGATGTGAGTAGAATGATCTATTTAAATTGACCCGAAAATACAGGGTGTCCCGAAAATTTAAACTTTCCTTTTCAGAAATAACTACGCTTGAAATAAGAAAACTAATGTGTGGTCAAACAGTAAAAAAAGTGAAAAAGTAAGGTAGGTGCGGGCAATTTCGCCCGGTGGTTAATAACGCCCGCTTTTAAATTTGGCGCTTTGCACTGGATTATTTGAAGCTAACGCAGGTTATAAGGAACATACTCGACTGTAGTAAGACGAAGACAGTGATAGTCGACGCCATTAGCGAGTTTGCGCAGTCAGTTATAACCAAGCATACAAAACAGGTGGTTGTGCGATCCATTTTATATACTAAGTGACATATAAATCCGAACACCCACTTTAAATGGTTTTATTTTAATAAAATTTTGTATAAGTACTTAATGAAGCATAATAAGTAAATGATAAAAATTTCAAAATGATTGCACTGCTTTAAAGCCCTTTGACCTTTAATAATGTGTGGATGCACCCTGATGTGCTACGCATTCTCCAACGCGCCTAGGCATGCTTCTGATCAGGTGGTCAATATCCTCCTGTGGTATCTCATTCCAGGCAACCACCAACTCCTCTCGAAGTGCTTCTAGAGTCTGAGGAGGACGTTGCAAATTGAGCAATCTCCTACTCATCATATCCCACACGTGCTCAATTGGGGATAAGTCGGGAGATCTTGGTGGCCATGGTAGCAATGTGACATCATTATGTTGAAAGAAGTCTATTGTGACTCTTGCAATATGTGGTCGGGCATTATCTTGTTGGAATGTTGGATCTGCCAGGGTGTCAAGATAGGGTAAAAGATGGGGTTCTAGAACTTCGTGGTTATAACGCTGCGCGTTCATGTTACCTCTGATGAAGATTAAAGGTGACCTGGAACCATAAGCTATAGCACCCCAAACCATAACTCCAACGGTGTGATGAACATGTCTTTCAACAAAAAACTGTGGATTCCTTCTTTCACCACGTCGCCTTCTAACCCTGGAACGACCATCGTGCATGCCTAAACAAAATCGAGACTCGTCACTAAAGACAATACTGTTCTATTCCTGATCCCAGAGTGACCGTTGTCTGCACCACTCAAGGCGATTACGTCGGTGTTCTCGAGTTAAAGGGAGGACCCAGTGTGGCCGGTATGAAAACAAGCCAAAACTTCTCATTCGTCGGTAAACACTTCGCATGCCAATAGGTCTTCCGTGTTGTGCAAACGATTCATTTGCAATGGACCTGGTAGTGGAGAAACGGTCCCTTAAGGCCAATAATCTTAGGCGGCGATCTTCACGGTCTGTTGTTCTACGGCGGCGTCCAGTGCCCCTTGCTCTTTGCGTACGGCCTTCTCGAAGCCATGCCTGACAACACCTAACCACAGTGTCTACACTTCTTTGCACTTTAACTGCAATTGCCCGATAAGAAAGTCCAGCTTCCCGAAGTCCCACTATACGGCCCCTATCAAACTCACTAAGTTGACGAAATCGTACAGGTCTCCGTACTCTAGGCATCGTAACCGATCGTAAAGGATGTCAAGAACCAAAATCCGCCAACGTTGATTCTTTACTGCGGCTGAAATATTCATTTTTAGAGCGTTAGTGTATTAAAAAAAAGCAGTATAAAAACCGGAATGTCCAACTGATAAGGCTGTAAATTTTTTCACTTGTTATTTACAGTAAGATAAATACATTCACCAACTTTTATTAAAATAAAACCATTTAAACTGGGTGTTCGGATTTATATGTCACTTGGTATAAAATTAGGTGCTGCAAATAAGTAAGTAAATTTGTATTTTAGCATGATAAATGGTTGTTATTTTCCACACGTAATGCTTAGGGTCTATGACAAGCGAATAGCTAATTAGTTCTGCTTGTTAAAATGTGTTTTTTCTTGGATTGGCTTTTTTTGTTGTAAGAAGTGAATCGTGTAATAACGCCCAGCCAAATTCGGGGTGGGCGTTATTAAACAGCCTAAGCGGGCGTTATTAAACAAATGAAAATATGATATTTTTGAACTATTCCAGAAGTGGTTATACATGGAAAAGAAATCGTCAACACCAGCCCGAAAAAGAGGTGTAGGATGGGACGAAGCGAATATGGAGGCTGCCATTCTGTCAGTATCAAGGGGGATCTTAACTCAGAGAGCCGCATCGGAGAGATATGATATTCCCAGAAGAACACTTCGGGATCACCTCAAAACTGGAAAATGCGTTAAAAGATTTGGCCGAAAAGCCGTGCTAAATACAGAACAAGAGAAAGATCTAGTGGAAAGGATTCTGCTTTTGGCCGATATAGGGTTGCCGCTAACCTTGAAAACGTTACGTTTTAATGTTTTCAAGTACTGTGAAATAAACAACATCCCAAATAATTTCAATACAGAAAGCCAAAGAGCAGGAAAGGATTGGATGAAATGTTTCTTAAAAAGAAACCCGATTGTATCAAAAAGGAAAGCCCAATTTATGAATCAAGCAAGAGCGCAAAAACTGAATAAGTTCATAGTAGAGAACCATTTCCAAAAAAATTGGTAACTTATTAGATAAATTGGAGTTAAAGCACAAACCTGAGAAAATTTTCAATATGGATGAGAAAGGTTGCCGTCTGACCCTTCACCATCAACCTACCGTTCTTGCACAAAAAGGTGTGAAAAGGGTTCACCTTATCTCAAATGAACATGCAGAAAATGTTACCGTGGTGGCGTGTGTATCCGCCATTGGTAATCCAATTCCGCCAATGATATGTTAATTTTCAAGGGTAAAAGAGTTAAGCCAGAATACTGTGACGATTTACCAACAGCAGTAAGGATGTCCCCTAAAGGTTATATGACCACCGAGCTCTTTGTAGATTTTATAAAGCACCTTGCCAGTTTTAAACCACCTGGCAAAGTCCTCTTAGTGTTTGATGGTGCAGCATGTCATTTGGACTTGAGAATAGTTAATGCCGCTGAACAGCACGATATTACCCTTTATTGTCTACCCTCAAACACACTGCACGAACTACAGCCGCTCGACAAATCTGTGTATCGATCTTATGAACATCATTGGGATGTAGAGATGCTGAAGTATCAGTCTGAGAATCCAGGCCGAAAAATTAGCAAAATCAGCTTCAACAAGATTTTTACCAATGTTTGGTCCAAGTGTATGACCTACTCTAATATCAACTAGTGGATTCAGGGCTGTAGGGATTTATCCTTTTAACCCCGATGCCATTTCCGCAACGGCGTTCGCTCCATCTATCCTGACGCAACGTTTACTGCCCGACACCAATAGGCAAGAAGACGTCGACCAGCAACCCTCAACGTCCAAGGGTGTCGGAAAATATTTATTTGCAAGACAAAAAGAAAATGCCACCTCACACATAGTGGATTCATCTGATTCTGAAGATGACTTGCCACTTCAAGAGTTACAAAAACGGATTCACTATCGTTCTAGAACGTCTTTCCAAAAACTTCTGGCGACACCAGATATGAAGCAAGCGGTTACTGTTAAACTACCACGGAAAAAAGTAATGAACTACAAAGCACAGACAATTACTAAGGACTTGTTCCAGCAAAATCCATCGAGCTCAAGGATTGTTCCAGATCAAGTTGCAGATTGGTATTGTCCAGCTTGGAAAGAAAATCGTTTATCAGACATGAGACAGTGCATGAAATGCCAAGTCTGGTACAATGAGGAGTGTGTTGGTCTGACAGAAATCGGTTTAATTTTTGAATGGCCCGAGTGTTAGTTTTTCATTTCATGTTTTTTTTTTTGATAATAATGCAGGAATGCTCTAATAATACCCGTTGCATTATCTATTTAATGTTCCTTTTCACTTAGCGAAGAAAAATGTTTCGTTTCTATTAGAAAGTTTTGTGCGGGTAGTAGCGTCCAAACATTGAAGACTTGTTTTTTTAAACTGTAAAATAGTTTTAAGCAGAATACATTTGTGCTTAGTTCAGTTTTTGCTTACTTTCATGTACCTTACACTGCATTTACCATAGGGCGTTAATATACTACTAGGTGGTTAATAACGCCCAAAAACACCATTTTTTGAAATGGCCTATAGAGGTCCTGTGATACTTTGAGAACTAAAAAAGGCTGAAATTTGTATTTATTTATCAATAAAGATGTTTTTACTAATGCAGTAATTTATCAATCCTCACTCGTAATTAGTAGATTAAAAAAAGTTTGTTAAGTGGGCGTTAATACCCTCAGGTACCTTAGATGCCCTTCATTTGCTGATAAATTTCAAGTATGGCTCTGTCACTTATAATGTATGTCCTAGAAGTTTTGGCTCGGATCTACTTTTAATGAAGAAATTTATTTATGGAAAATGCGTTAAAAGATTTGGCCGAAAAGCCGTGCTAAATACAGAACAAGAGAAAGATCTAGTGGAAAGGATTCTGCTTTTGGCCGATATAGGGTTGCCGCTAACCTTGAAAACGTTACGTTTTAATGTTTTCAAGTACTGTGAAATAAACAACATCCCAAATAATTTCAATACAGAAAGCCAAAGAGCAGGAAAGGATTGGATGAAATCTTTCTTAAAAAGAAACCCGATTGTATCAAAAAGGAAAGCCCAATTTATGAATCAAGCAAGAGCGCAAAAACTGAATAAGTTCATAGTAGAGAACCATTTCCAAAAAATTGGTAACTTATTAGATAAATTGGAGTTAAAGCACAAACCTGAGAAAATTTTCAATATGGATGAGAAAGGTTGCCGTCTGACCCTTCACCATCAACCTACCGTTCTTGCACAAAAAGGTGTGAAAAGGGTTCACCTTATCTCAAATGAACATGCAGAAAATGTTACCGTGGTGGCGTGTGTATCCGCCATTGGTAATCCAATTCCGCCAATGATATGTTAATTTTCAAGGGTAAAAGAGTTAAGCCAGAATACTGTGACGATTTACCAACAGCAGTAAGGATGTCCCCTAAAGGTTATATGACCACCGAGCTCTTTGTAGATTTTATAAAGCACCTTGCCAGTTTTAAACCACCTGGCAAAGTCCTCTTAGTGTTTGATGGTGCAGCATGTCATTTGGACTTGAGAATAGTTAATGCCGCTGAACAGCACGATATTACCCTTTATTGTCTACCCTCAAACACACTGCACGAACTACAGCCGCTCGACAAATCTGTGTATCGATCTTATGAACATCATTGGGATGTAGAGATGCTGAAGTATCAGTCTGAGAATCCAGGCCGAAAAATTAGCAAAATCAGCTTCAACAAGATTTTTACCAATGTTTGGTCCAAGTGTATGACCTACTCTAATATCAACTAGTGGATTCAGGGCTGTAGGGATTTATCCTTTTAACCCCGATGCCATTTCCGCAACGGCGTTCGCTCCATCTATCCTGACGCAACGTTTACTGCCCGACACCAATAGGCAAGAAGACGTCGACCAGCAACCCTCAACGTCCAAGGGTGTCGGAAAATATTTATTTGCAAGACAAAAAGAAAATGCCACCTCACACATAGTGGATTCATCTGATTCTGAAGATGACTTGCCACTTCAAGAGTTACAAAAACGGATTCACTATCGTTCTAGAACGTCTTTCCAAAAACTTCTGGCGACACCAGATATGAAGCAAGCGGTTACTGTTAAACTACCACGGAAAAAAGTAATGAACTACAAAGCACAGACAATTACTAAGGACTTGTTCCAGCAAAATCCATCGAGCTCAAGGATTGTTCCAGATCAAGTTGCAGATTGGTATTGTCCAGCTTGCAAAGAAAATCGTTTATCAGACATGAGACAGTGCATGAAATGCCAAGTCTGGTACAATGAGGAGTGTGTTGGTCTGACAGAAATCGGTTTAATTTTTGAATGGCCCGAGTGTTAGTTTTTCATTTCATGTTTTTTTTTTTGATAATAATGCAGGAATGCTCTAATAATACCCGTTGCATTATCTATTTAATGTTCCTTTTCACTTAGCGAAGAAAAATGTTTCGTTTCTATTAGAAAGTTTTGTGCGGGTAGTAGCGTCCAAACATTGAAGACTTGTTTTTTTAAACTGTAAAATAGTTTTAAGCAGAATACATTTGTGCTTAGTTCAGTTTTTGCTTACTTTCATGTACCTTACACTGCATTTACCATAGGGCGTTAATATACTACTAGGTGGTTAATAACGCCCAAAAACACCATTTTTTGAAATGGCCTATAGAGGTCCTGTGATACTTTGAGAACTAAAAAAGGCTGAAATTTGTATTTATTTATCAATAAAGATGTTTTTACTAATGCAGTAATTTATCAATCCTCACTCGTAATTAGTAGATTAAAAAAAGTTTGTTAAGTGGGCGTTAATACCCTCAGGTACCTTAGATGCCCTTCATTTGCTGATAAATTTCAAGTATGGCTCTGTCACTTATAATGTATGTCCTAGAAGTTTTGGCTCGGATCTACTTTTAATGAAGAAATTTATTTGAATTCTAACTAGTTATCATGAATTACAACCCGATAATTAACTAAACTATACTATCGAATTATATGGAGTGGCCCTTTCTTCTCTACCACACGTAACTTTCTTCGAATGTCTCTCATGAGGTCCTGCACGGAATTCAGATCAATTTCTCTCAGTTTTTCGTAAATTCGCCCTCTTGATCGCTCTTTATCTTGGGCTTCCCAGCCTCTATGATAAACCTTCCTAGACAGTAAAGCTAAAAAATCCTGTGTTGTCCAAGTCAGTCTTGGGCATCTCTTGATTAATGTCATGATGCTAGGTCTGGTCAAAACATGATGTGGTCTTTAGCATGATGTTCGTGGACAATTGTCAATATAGCTCTGACTATTCAAAGCTTCACCCCTCACTCTTCCCACATAAGGTTGGGATACACCAACGACATTCCAACCCTGCTTTTTTCCTCTTCTCACCACTATCGCTAACCTCTGGTCTTCCACTTTTTGGGAGATTCAGACATGGTATTCGCTGCTCGCACTTCGCTTTTGTTCGAGACTCTGCGTGAGATGTCTTCATTCTAGAATTTTCAGATTTCAGCTTTGGGCACCCGCCCATCCAACTTGTAGATCATTTTTCTTATTTCTAATTTATACGACATCTCAAAGCGAAAACTTCAAAATAAAGGAATGTCAACTGACAATAAAGTAAGTAAACAGACTTTTGTTTCCGAAGACAACTTGATATTATTTTGTGTTGCTAAAATTGAAGCAAATGAATTTTGTGTCAAAGCTTTTAAGACATACCTTAAAAACACTGCTTTCTTCGAAAAAGTCCAATTTCATTACTTTTAAGGGGTTACTGCAATTATTCTACTTAGCTGTGACGATGGAAACTGTAAGCGGATCTACAAATACAGCGTATGGTGGGGCATCTTCTTGGTGAATGTGCTAAACGATAAACACAATACTGACTTACCTATAAGCTTATAGCCAGGTCCGGTTTCCATGTGGAAAGCAAACAGCCCTTCCCTCATTCTCCTTACCCCTTCTTCTAAATGCATGAAGTTGTCAGGCTTTCCTGGAGGTGCAACTTTTTGCAAATATAATGCGTGTCTTATCGGCTCAATGGCGTTCTGGTTAAGAGAACAATTGTGAAAACATTTTTCTTCTACTAGCGTGCGGAAAGTACTCACTTTCAATACGCATCTGTGTGCACAAGTGCTACTTTCTGCACGCAAATGAGTACTTTCCACACGCTCTTAGAAAAAATCTTATATCTATACACTTAAAAAAAGAATCAATTTCCGTACTTGTTGAGTAAATATGCAAAATGTCTTTGTAAACTCCAAATTCAGACACTAAGGCTCGATTTTAGAATTAACCTTTTGGAATCAAACTGCCATTTAAGAGGCATTTTTGAATTGATGGATATTTTAACAAAAACACCGTTTTTACTATCCAAAGTCCATATGGTCGTTTTCTTCTATAATAAAAAATTGTACGATTTGGGTAAGATCGTTTAGTTACAAACACCTATCTTTTACTTGATGCCTTGCACAACAACTTGCGGCTAATCGATAAGAAGTGTTCACAACCTAGTCGCAAACGCTATCAATCTGAAACGAGTATCATATACAATACTTTGTAAATAACATAACTAAATCAAGGACAAACACAAATACCTCAAATAAAACAAACATATTTTTCTCTTTTTGTTGAGAATCAATAAAAATTAACCCGACAGTGACATCAACTCAGTAGAGTAAGCACCAGTAAAATGTAGGGCTGTATTGCCTTCTGTATGAGTATCAACGTGACAGAATGCATATTCTTTAGTGAACATTGGGTGAATATTTAAGTCACTTGAATACCCTGTGCACTGGGCTGCCGATTCTACCAATCGACAGAGGGTGGGTTCTCGATGAGTAAATAACAGTAGATTCGAGAGAGAACACGATTTATTCAAATCTCGCAAAGAACAACAATTCTAAGCAAAACTTAAAAAGAATACATGAGGGGCGACCCTGCCCCGACGCGTGTCTAGGGTCGACTGACTGCCCAAATCCCCCAATAGTTGCCAAGTGTCCCTTGCACATTCACCTTATCGTCACACACATCACTTAACCTCCACACCTGCGAAACAACCTTTCTTTCCAAATATTTATACACTAATTTTCCTGTATTATCGCTATAAAGCTCTTGACATCGCACGCGCCCTCTACGGGACGGTGCCGCAAAGTCCGGACGAACTCAAACCCTAGGAATAATTTAGGAATAAACCCCTCGTAAAGCAAAGCACGAAAAGCTGTTCTTTCCGTAGACTCTTTCTATGAGTGCTCTACAATATATTAACGAAGAAATACATGGTGAAAAAATATAATAATTGCAAATATTTATCATACAAATAAATGTTGCCCAGACATAGACAGTGTGCAAGCCATATCGGGAAACAGTGGCTTACATCTACAAACTACATTATACGGCATAAGACTTATTGCTCGACATCAACAACGCCCCTGGTTCGGACTTGATTCCTGCCGTTGTACTGAAGTGGTGTGCAGAGTGTAGAGTAAGCTCATAAAGTCTTATGGTGAAGCTTATGTCGTTGCTCTTGATTTCACGAAAGAGATCAATCAGCTGTGGCACTCTGTCCTCTTATGCAACCGTTCCATCCTATGACCTCCCAAAGAAGCTTTGCAGATGGGTGATTGACTTTCTCTCTGGCCGCAAGGTATCCATCGTAATTGACAGGTGTGCCGCTTTGTTTCACAACGTCTACGCAGGTGTTCCCCAGGGATCGGTCCTGGTTTCGACACTATTCCTCCTGCATATCAACGACCTCCTGTCCTGTATGATCAACTCAATCCACAGCTTTGCTGATGACAGCGCTCTATATGCAGGAATTCAGAGCGACAAGCCGGTCTCTGCTGGTGAGCTGGAATAAAGAAGACTATGAGCGACTTCCTCTCTGACGAGGGACCTGGAGGTTATCACTGCTTGAGGTCCCAGCAATCTTGTACAGTTTAATGCTTCAAAAACAAAGTAAAGTACCTTGACGAACAAAAAGTGTCCTAGCGCTCATCCGGTTTCGATGGATGCTCATCTCGTCAATGGCGGAAGCTGCTGAAAGACCTAGCCTCGAGTATTGCTCACATGTTTTGGGTGCAGACACTCCGGCCTCATCTATGCTCGACACTGACTTCAGCTACCCATCCTATCCGTGTCGAACTTCGCATATCCAGAACTGGCCAATACGACCGCTCCTATGACCCTAGGGTGTGGAACAATCTACAAGAGGAGGAGTTTCCCAGTTCTAATAATCATAGGCAGATCAAAAGTCAGATCAACAAAGTCTCTTTGGGATCCTCATTGCAATGGTGGTGCCATGACATTTAGGCTGCTGCCTGCGCAGCTGCTCCTTTGTTACAAACAACTCAGTGGATCTATCGATGAACTGCTAAAAATGCATACGTTTTTCCAAAATTATCCGTCTCTGCTAGGGGAGATACTGCTATTTTCAATAAACTGCTCAGTAATTGCTGTCATATGAATCGGATACTGTATCAGGTTTGATCCTTGTTTCGAGCAAAACGTAAATATTTCTTTTTGGTTGGCCGAATTTGCGACTAGGTCGCGAATTCTCTGTTTTGATTTGTGCCCTAGTCTCAAATTCACCATAAAGTATACAGGGTGACTTTGAAGTTGAGTCATTAATTTTCAGATAATGATTGTAGAAGGAAGATAAACCAAAATATGTGTGTAAAAATAAAAAAAAATTAAAAAAAAATGTTTACCTTGTTTTATAAAGTATCCTCCCGACAAGTATTTCAGTGCGGACCTGTATTTGATCGTGAGGTCCCCTGTGATGTCTTAAGTCACCTGATTCACGAGCCCGTTGTACTACATTAACAAAGGCACGAGGGGTTGGTTGCACTCGATTGGGAAACCGATCCGCATAAACATGTGCCATTTTTTAGTAGTAATTTGAATTTCTCTTTATTAATAATAGAGTACCGAATCCTAGGCCAAACCCTTATCAGTGATTTCCTTCTGGCAAATTTCATAATTCATTGTCCTGTTGAGCTCGAAACTACCTAACCGTGAATGATTTCACACATACAGGGTGTTTCAGTTTATTGTTGCATAACTTTAAGATTCGATAGAACTTTTAAAATTGATGCATAAAGTCTATATAAACATGGGTCGAAAAATGCGTGGCTTCGGAAATACAGGGTGTTTAAATTTACTTTCTAAAATAGTTTTTTTTAAATATTTCGAACAATATTCGATGTATAACTGTGAAAATTGGTATACAATGGTTTTTTGGTACGACAAAACGAACCATGGGCACAGTTTTACTGTAACCGCTAGAGGGCGCTCTCTACTGTACCTGTAGTGTATTAAAATGACCGAAAAAATTTTCTTAGTACAATCTTTTGCTTTTTGAATAAAAAAACTGATTCTTCGCACTCTTCAACATAAAAAAGCTCCCTTGTGAATTTTCGTTATAGTTAGCCGTTTTGAGATATTTGGATTTTTAGGTTCGATGCATTTTTAATTATTTATGATAAAATAACGTTAAAAAGTCAGTATCTCGATAATTTTTAGAAGTAGGCTGTGCCTGCAAATATTTATGAAATTGAAAGCAGAATAAGGTTAAACGTCAATTAGTTGACAGTTAGTTTTGTTGTCTGTTGAAACCTGAAACGTTTTTTTGCAATTGCGAATGCACGAAATTTAGTTTCTTTTACCTGTTTTTTTTTTGTAAGTTCTATAAAAATGCCATTTTTATCCTCCAATCAAGAGTTAGCAGATATTCATTTTCTGTATGGCTTTGTAAATGGAAACGCAGCAGAAGCAGCCAGAAAATACGCACGAAGGTTTCCAAACAGACGACATCCAACTCGCTCAATATTTGTAAGACTGCATCGCCAAATAATTGAAAATGGTTTTGGAAATCTCCAAAGGGATCAAAACATAAATGTTCGTCAGCGCAGATTTACCCGTATGATTCTGCGTGAGTTTGATAGAGATCCGACCACAAGTGTTAGGAGAGTTTCTGGTGCCTTGGGAATTTCAGCAAGCCATGTTCACTGTGTTCTTAGAAATGACCATAGACGTCCTTACCATTTGCAACCTGTGCAAGGACTACAGCCAGGGGACGTAGAACGAGGAATCACATTTTGTCAGTGGATTCTTGATAGAACTGATAATAATAGGGAGTTTTTAGATTTTGTATGTTTGTCCTAACTATCCAATAGCATTTTAGATGTAAATAATTAATTTAATTTGTTAAAAATAATATTGGAAAATTAAACAAATTAATATTCTGTTTTTTTTGTGTTTATTTGGAGTTGGGAATTATTGCTGTGTTTAAAAACACAATCTAAACGATCATCTTAATTACTTGTAATGCCCAAATCGAAAATGTAAAAAAAAAATATTATTTTCCCATAAATAATTAAAAATGCATCGAACCTTAAAAATCGAAATATCTCAAAAACGGCTAACTATAACGAAAACTCACATGAGACATTTTTTATGCAGAAACGTGTGAAGAATCAGTTTTTTATTCGAAAAGCAAAAAATTGCACTAAGAAAAATTTGTCGGTCATTTTAATACACTACAGGTACAGTGGAGAGCGCCCTCTAGCGGCTACAGTAAAACTATGCCCACAGTTCGTTTTTTCGTACCAAAAAACCCCTCGTGTACCAATTTTCACTGTTATACATCAAATATTGTTCGAAATATTTAAAAAAAACTATTTTAGAAAGTAAATTTAAACACCATGTATTTCGGAAGCCACGCATTTTTCGACCCATGTTTATATAGACTTTATGCATTAATTTTAAAAGTTCTATCGAATCTTAAAGTTATGCAACAATAAAATGAAACACCCTGTATATCTTTCTTTCTTAGCGACTTAGTATTGTATCGAAGTCTTTTGGACACTAATGTTATAATATTTTATTAAATCTCAGAAATTTACTCAAAAATATCGTTGGTGCCTCGTAAGCCCGACTATGTTTTTACCCGCAACATTATTTTGGAAAATAACACAGTCGTGAGGTCTACCCATAAGCCACCAGTGATGTTGCGTATGTAGGTTCGGTTGCGAACTTTTTATCCCTGAACGTGTTTGGGATTATTTTGTCTTCCTCTCTCTCACTCTGTTTCGTTATGTCTAGGTAGAATACGAGAATTACACAGTTTGATTCGGGTACCGTCATTGTTATTATTATTTTTGGCATGGAACCTGTGGAATCTAGAATTTTGGAACGCTCTCCTACTTTTGACATTGATTGACAGTCAACACTGATTGACAGACGGAAGACCGCAAATTTCGGGACTGTCATCTTTCCTGTTGAAATTTATTTTAAAATGAAAGATTAGGATGTAACTTGCACGAAAATATCATTTTTCCTTTAAGGAACCCTCTGCTTGCTATTTTATATAGCTAATACTGTGGTATAGAATATTGCTTTATAAGCTGTTTTCTTCTTGTTTATACAAAAGATTGTTTAAAATTATATGAATATAACATACACTATAAGTTACTGTGATACTGTTCATCGCAATAATGCAATTTTGCATTCTTTTAATGATGAAAATAGTTTATTGTTAAGTAGTCCTTTCTTTCATTTCAGATAATTATTCCCATCACTAACTACACCACCGTCACTGTCATATTTTATCCATCTAGTTGCGATGTTGCCAAATCATGGATAGTAATATACCTTAATTTGGTTTGTCAAATTCCTACTTATATACCAGCGCAAAAATGTGCAATCGGCACAGGATTGTCATGAAAATGCGATTTGGAGGTATGGCCGGCAGGCTTTACTTTACTAAATCCAACTTGTGCCCTACGATAGCGTAAGCTAAAAATACTTTTTTGAAGAATGCCTTATGCAGTTCAGAAAAGTACTTCGGTTATTGTTTTTTTCTATATTATAGTTATAATCTATATACTTTTTGTATGTATGCACTTAAAGAATTATTTAAAGTGAAGCTGATGTTACAAAACATACCTAATTAAATGTGATCTATATGAGAAATAACTGAAAAAGTAGCTGTTAAAAACCATTGATCTTTATTTAACTATAATGTTGGACGATGATATGTTGGGTAGACCTGGCGAGATGGTCCAAATCGACGTTGGGTATTTCTATATGCAGTGACCGCTGGTGCCTTTTGTATTTTTTATGTCACGCGAGCCGCTGGTGCATTTTCCACTGTTTAGGCACATATTGTTCAAAATTTCATCTAGTTTTGGGACAACTTTTCATAAAACAAAGCATTTACAATAAATTAATACTTTTATTTTGCAAATAACCCCATTTCTAATTACGTATTTCTCCCAAAAAAGGTACAACTTGGCAACAATGGACATCATTTATCTTATCTGTCAAGAAATGAGCGTTATAAAATGGCCATTGAGAATTGTTTGTACTTTCAAATATTTCTTATAAACGCAAAAACTTTGATCTCATTGAAAATACGCGAAAAAAATGGTTAAGGAATATCAAGAAGACATTGAAAAATCACAAAAAAACACCTCTACACAGTTTACCAAGCAAATACCATCATTTACATACGTATTTTAATCTGGTATTTAAGGAACTCATAGCTTTTTCGCCTTTGACATAGTGGTAATCTTGTGTGAAGGTGTCATCCATATCCAAAGTTATTTATAAGCCAAGGTTCAGCGACCAGATCGTCAGGCAGACCGATGGAAATGAGTGACGTGTTTTCATCATGTACATTCAAAAAACACGATCTCCCTTTTTGCATTTCTTTCGCCATTACAATACTTCCTCCCCCTTAGGCATGGGAAGAGAAGAGAACCGTGCGACATTTGGGCATACTTACCGGAAAGTAGAATCTATTGAATACCGTGTTGTCGACTCCCACTTTGAGACGCGACTTCAGAAGATCTTCTAGCGTCTGGATACTTGTAGATGATGACTGCAGCAAAGCAACTATATTTGCAGAGTAGGAGCTGTCGATGAATAAATACAAACAACTTGAGATGTATCCTAGTCACAAAACCAACAGAAACACAGTAATTATTATTTAGTAATAATAATAATAATAATAATAATAATTCTGTATTGCCCAACAGAAGCATCCATTTATAGAACAATATAAGTGAAAAAGAACAAAAGTGTTCATAAAACATACAAAAATAAAATATTTAGATGTAAATAATTGTAAATACAAAATAGAAAAAAATATTTAGAAAAGGACGACCATTAAAGTATGCACATCAAAAGTTGTAAATTAGATAATACATCATTGGATTTAGTCGTTACCTCAACGATACTGTCATAATGAATATGACAATTATCTGCTATTGCATTAAAGTTGGGTCACATAAAGTACCTGATCAAAACATTTGATCTTGGCGTATTCAAATAAAAAGCCGGACATCTACGTGAAGCGCGAGATGGTACATGAAAACCGAGTTTGGATAGCAAGGCCGGAGAGTCAATTTCATTATGGACGAGCTTATAAAGAAATCTTAAACTGTTATTAATTCTTCTTAACTATAGCGGTTGTATCTAGAATCTAAACAGCATAGTCATTTGATCACTGCCTCGCATCGGATAGATACCATCCAATTTGAATGTCAAGTACTTCAAAAAAACGGCGCTACACGCCCTCAATTGTATTAATATGATTTTGATAGTAAGGGTTCCACACACTTGATGCGTATACCAGCTTTGACCGAACTAGCGCACAGTAGAGCCCTTTCAGCGCCATTTCACTAGACAAAGATTTGCAGTTTCTTATCAAAAACCCGAGTGTCTTCATAGCGGACGAAACTACGTTATCAATATGACAGGTGAATTCTAATTTGTTGTCAAACAAAACACCTATAGTCAACGCCAAACAAAGTGGCGTGCACGTCATCACGATAAAAATTCCCCGACCTAATGCCTAAGTTTCTATCACAAACAATTGCTCTATTGCAGTTTCATATTAATGTGATATATAAATTGTAAAATGGTCATTACTCTCTTATTATGGTTAATAGTCATATAAACATTGTTATTAAAATATCACATAAGTTGCTTTCTGATAAATTTAGACGCATTATGCGAAATAAAATGTTTTGCAAACGCTCCAATCACTTATCGACATGTAAACGCACTAAACCGATTTCGCAGCGTTGACACATTGTCACCTTGAAACTTATTTAAACTGGGAACTGACATTTGTATTAATTTTGACACTGAATCAATTTGTGGCATTTCAAATCTTTATAAATCCTTTGGCCCCGCATACTGTAAATCAACAACTGTTTGTTTCAAAACAAAATTATTCATTTTACGAGTAGATAAAGGCAATTTTGGTATATAAAGATGCCCAAACAGTTAAATAGTCGGTGTAAGGAACTCGTGGTCTCGTTAATGCACTACTTTGAGCAAGAAAGGGACAACAACGGGCCTTTGTTGCCTTTAAATGCTGTTCAAGAGGTAGGTTACTAATAATTATATGTAATGTATATTAATAATAGTGAAATTTTATTTCATTTTTTGTAGCGTGTTGCTGCTGCTTTAAAAATTAGTTTAAGGACAGTTAGTCGTATTTCCGAGGGTGTGAAAAGTGATGCAAATTTAGAATCGCCCAAGAAAAAGCGGAGTTATATTAAACGTGTAATCAACACAGCGACATTGGATACAAGTGCCATTCGAGAAGTGATCTATAATATGTATCACAAAAGTAAGATCTTATTATAATAACTTATCAGAAATTTGCATTAATTTGTTAACTAAATTATAATGTCATATTACACATGGTTTCAGAAGAACAAGTTACGATACAAACTTTATGGTCTCGATTAAGAGATAGGGCATTATTTGATGGTAGTGCCACGTCTTTAAGGCGGTTGCTTAGAGATCTTGGATTTAAGTGGCTTAAGGACAATCCGCGACGAGGGCTCATGGAACTACCAAGTATAGCTTTGAAAAGGGTGGAATTTCTAAGGCAATACAATCAAGCCAAGGTTGAGGCCTTATACCAGTTTGTCTTCCTCGATGAAACTTGGATATTTCAAAATGGGACCATAGGTCGCTCTTGGCAAAATGGAAACCAAAAAAGCGTGAAAGCTATTAAAACAGATGGTAAAAGGTATGTACTTTTACACAATTTGCACTATAAAATTTAAAACTAATATACCTATTTTAGATACATTATATTACATGCTGGAAATGAAAATGGGTTTATTGAGGGTAGTGAAGCGATATTTTCTTCGAAAACAAAATTGAGCGATTACCATGGAGAGATGAACCAGGACAATTTTTTGAAATGGTTTCAACATCAGTTATTAGAAAAATTGGAGAGTCCATCTATGATTATACTGGATAACGCCCCTTATCACAGCATGATATTGAACAAAGTGCCCAACAATGCATGGACAAAAAAAATATCCAAGACTGGTTGACAAATCAAAACATACCATTTTTAAACACAATGTTTAAAACAGAGCTATTGAGTATTGTTGCTCGGTACATAATGCTTCTTAATTATATATATTTTGGTCGACAGTTTATATTTCTTTTGTTTATTCCTATTCTTAAAATAACTGCTTTTTTAGAAACAAACCACCTAAAATATACGTGATTGATGAATTGGCGGAACAACATGGGCACAAAGTTCTTCGTCTGCCTCCTTACCATTGTATAATTAACCCTATTGAGTTAATTTGGGGCATAGCAAAAGGTTACTATAACAGACATATTTGTAGAGATGGTAACAGTGAAAAAGACTGTTTGGATATGTGGAACGAGGCTCTACAAACGGTTACCCCAGACATGTGGAAAAATAGTGTTCGACATACTGAGCAAGAAATTTTTAAATGGTATGAAAGAGAACGAATTTTTGATCGACCAGACATCGAACCTTTAATAATCAACTTTGAGAGTGATGAAGATTCAGATTCAGACAGCGCTGAAGAAAGAAACTCCGACTAACTTTATTGTACAGAAAAAGCTTACACCAGTAGCTTACCTAATTTTAGAATGCATTTTTCTGTATGAATTCTGTAAAATAAATACCATGCATAAAATTTGGAGGACCCCATTTGGATTTTTATTCAGTACCTTTAAGCTATCAAGTAAATATGGTAGTTTCATAGTGTCATCTGATCAATAATTGTCATACTTAATGATTATGCAAGTACAGATCTATAATTTTATTATACTATTATTTTTGTTCTCATTTGAGGTTAATATTGCTTATAAACCTAGATATGTAAATAATAAATTTTATTATTTTACAAAAAGTTTGGCAACAATGTAAATTTTTCAACACACCCACCTTGATGACGTGCACGCCACTTTGTTTGGCGTTGACTATAAGGCCCGTATCGTGAGTCGTCCCTACAATTGTAGGCCGCGTTTATGGCCTCCTTTTTTGTCATAGTTTTCTACTTCTCCGTGTCAGAGCTCTATTTTGAGGTTATGTCACAAACATCTATTTGCATCAAACGCTTTTGAGATATATCATGTTTTATCAGCCCGAAATTTCCTACAATTTAACATTAGGAGAGCGCTGACGCTGACACGGGACGAGTGGAATCTAGAAATTTTTGAAGGAGAGAAAAGTTTGTAGTCAAAAGTATTTTACGGGTATATGAACAAATTTTACATTTTGTGACATTCAGAAACAACTCATCATTCTTGCACCAATCTGAGAGACGATCGAGATTATTTTGCAAAATTGAGCAGTCTGCATCAACTATTATTCGTAGATAGATCTTTAGATCATCAGCAAAGAGCAAGCTAGGACAAGTGAGACAGTCAATTAGATCGCTGATAAAATAAAGGAACAGGAGAGGCCCAAGATTTGCCTCTTGAGGCACCCCAGATGGTACATTATAAACAAAAGAATTAAAACCATTATGAGAGACGTATCCACTTAAGTAGGAAGTGAACAGTTTCTGCAAACGACAGCCAAAGCCGAAATATGGCAGCTTGCCAATAATCTTATTGTAACTAATCTTATCGAAGGCCTTTGAGAAGTCAGTATAGACTACATCCATCTGTCCTTTATATAATAATTGAGGATTGAAGTGTAATGCAGAGAAGACTATATCCTGTTCAGTTTTGCGCGGAAATACCGAAATGTAATTAAAGTCGGAAACGAAACGGTGCCAATACTTGAGCTTAACGGCAGACTGTCTGCAAGATCTCACATCAACTCTCGCCTACGTTAAGCTTAAGCAGCACTTGCTATATTGGTCCCCATAATTGGATCGAAATTAAATGTCGACGTTGATGTGAAGGTGAGAGTAATTGACGGGTGCAATGTTCCCATTATGGATTATGGAACTGTGCAACTTCTACCAAAGATAAGTTGGACCGTCTTGAGTTCACTCGAGGTCTGCTTGAAGAAAGCCTGTTAGGCTGCAGGGAGGCTTCTGCGTCGTCTTCCAACCAGATAAAGGTAGTAAATTTGCAACAGAAAATGCTAGTAAAGCTAAAGAAAGAATCAGTCACTTATCCCTTCAACAGCCAAGGTATCAAAGGAGAAGACAACACAATGTCTTGCAACCTTCCACAAGGACGGTAGGTAGAATTTCTACGGCCCTAGCACCTCAATGCGGGCAGGGCAGACCTGACGGTAGCTGCTTTTCAACCATTGGATGCTCGCACAAATACAATGAGATCCTTCCTGCCAGATATATGGCACAAACCTCCTAATAGGCAAAAAAGCGGAAGGCATCATGCGGACGGCATCATACCGTTATACAGGGTGTTTGGACAATAGACGGAGGTATTTAAGAGGGTGATTCCTTGTTAAATAAATATGAAAAAGAAGTTTCTATAAACATGGTTCCGGAAATGCAGTGTTTAACTCGATTCTGTTGAAATTTGTCAGGATTGTTTGCTCAATTAAGGCCCGTATCGTCAGGCGTCCCTACAATTGTAGGGCGCCTTTACGGCCTCCTTGATTGTCATAGTTTTCTGTTTCTCCGTGTCAGAACTCTATTTTGAGGTTATGTCAAAAACATCTATTTGCATCAAATTGTGCTTGCTTTTGAGTTATATCATGTTTTATCAGCCTAAAATTTCCTACAATTTAAAAAGAAAACATATCTTCACAATAAGAGAGCGCTGACGCTGACACGGGACAAGTGTAATCTAGAAATTTTTGAAGGAGAGAAAGGAGGATGACAATCAAGGAGGCCATAAACGCGCCCTACAATTGTAGGGGCGACTGACGATA